CTGTTTGTGGGTTTTACTTTCATTGTGAGCCACCCAGAGTCACCCACTGGGGGAGATGGGCAGCATACAAATTAAATAAATAAATAAGCAACAATAAAGAAAGGAGCCAGCACCATGCTTCCTACTCCCAGTCCTCTTAGCCAGTCCAGAAGGATATCATGGTTGAAGGCCTCTGAGAGCTCAGTGAGGGCCAGAAGGGATGCACTTCCCTCATCCTAGGTGTACCATACGTTATTGAAAAGTACAATTGGTGCAGTTTCAGGACTATGTCCCAGCCTGAAACCCAACTGTAAGGGTTTAAGATTATTCACTTCTCCGTGCTTCTTCAAAACCGCAGGTCGACTGCCTTCTCAACAACCTTACCTAAGAGTGAGCAAAATCCTTTCTCCATGTTTCTCTGAGTATGAAGTTGAGACGAAGCTATGCATAAAAATAGCAGCAGCCATATGTTTCTCTTGAATAGGTGTCACCAGACATCCTCCAACACATCTAAATTTAGCAGGAAGTAATTAAAAAAAGGAAAGAAGATAGGAGATTATATCTTTCTGAGTACATGTATAAAATGAATCTATGACAATTAAGCTGTAAATACTTCATCCAATAAGTAAGCAACTACCTGTGACACAAATGATCTTTGATCACAATTCCTATCCTGTGCTAGCAATAATCTAATGTGGTCAGCATCTCTTCCTTTTACCTGTAATAATAATAGATCCTCACTTAACTATTTAAGCACCACAACTTCACAAAGAAATTGGAAAAGATGTTAACTAACAGCATGAAGAATGAACAAATAGTGTAAGGTAATACCATCTGCCTCCAAGTTCAGAACCAAGGATTTGCAATTCCAAGGATTTGCAATTCCCCATTAGCACTACAGCTAACCCTAGAATTTAATGTACCCAAGTGTGCTGAAAGAGGATTCTTTTCTTTGACTGATTTTTAGAAGTATGCAGGACAACTTAAAATAAATATTAATGTTATATAATAAAACACAATACAGTATAAAAATACAACAGAAGTTCACTATAACAGAGCTGAAGGAATATATGCCTCTCATCTGAACATCTCATCTAGACCCAGAATTGGGAGTTCATACAACTGGAGCTGTATGAACTGAAATAAATATGGTTAAAGAGAGCTTCAGAGGGCAAGGAAAAACCAGTATTTAACCAGCATTTTAAAAAACCTGAAGCTGATATATGAGAAAGATTTGGGAGCACTTATAAGGGAAGGTGTATAATCCAGTTATATGGGGATAGCAGCTGTGGGAAAGAAGAAGGGAATAGCAGAAAATGTGACTACTCATTAAGTCTTAATGCTCTAGCTTGTGGCCTGGAACTACACATCACCTGTCAGGAACTACTCGTACATGCCAGCATCCACACATTTTGAAACCCACCACCACACAGGTCCATGCCATCTTCTTCAACCTCCCCCTGCATATGAGATGTGAGTGAGCGAGAATGTATGTATGAGAGTTATTTTTTCCTCAGATCCTTAATTTATATTCAATTTTGAAATCACCAGAAATGGTGATCATTATAAATGTATGTGTGTGAACATTTAACAATTAAATAATCAAATTAATATAAGGGAATAATACTAATATTTAATTTGATTTAATTTTCCTCCACCACAACCAGTTTTAAAAGTACTATGTGGAGCTGGACCAGCTTAAAACCCAAAGAAAGTTGCATAGACCTGCCTCAAGCAAACACAGGCAATTCTTTATACACCAATCTAATGGGACCTACCTCTGAAGAGTCAAGCAACAGACTGCATTGAAAGGAAATAGTCTGGCCTGTTTCTTCTTCCTAAATCATTTTTTTATATAACTGGAGTGAAGACTTTTTCTGCAATCATTTGGGACATATTTAAAAAGCCCTATTTATTGGCATTCTCACTATCATCAAAACAGAGGCTGCACTGAATGATAAAAGTTATGTATGACCCATACAGTACACAAAGAAAGCTTATATGCTTAGAGGTAGTCATATATAAATGAACTTGGCTAAGATTAGAGTTTGGCTGATGAATTGGATAAGAAAAGTGGGATGATGGTAATGCTGAAGTAATCATGCCCTGGTCATCTCTCAGTTAGACTACTGCAATGCACTCTACATGGGGTTACCCTTGAAGGATCCGGGAGCTACAGTTGGTTCAAAATGCAGCTATGAGGACAATCTTGGGTGCCCCAAGGATGGCACATATAACACTTCTGCTGCGGGAGCTGTATGGGGTGCCAGTTTGCTTCTGGGTCCAATTCAAGGTGTTGGTTATGACCTTTAAAGCCCTACATGGCATGGGTCCAGGTTACCTGAGGGACCGTCTCACCCCCATTACATCAACCTGTCCCACCTGGTCAGGCAGAGAGGGCAAGTTGCAGACCCTGTCAGCAAGAGTGTCGGCTGGCAGGGCCCAGGAGGAGAGTCTTCTCTGCTTTTGCCCCCACCCTTTGGAATATTCTTCCCCCAGAGTGCAGTGGGCCCCTACCCTCCCGGTTTTCTGGAAAGGACTTAAGACCTGGCTCTGTCAGCATGCATGGGGCAACAACAGTTGAAATTGATCCTGGGGGTGGCTGGCACCCTGATGACACTCCCCAAACTGTTAGCCAATTTTATTGTCCCTTGGAATTTATTTATTAATTATTTAAGATGGTTTCATATTGTATTTTAATGGATTTTATCTCTTCTGTAAACCACCCAGAGTCACTTTTTGGTGAGATGGGCGATGACAAATTTGATATATAAATAAAATTTTTAAAAAATAATGGATCTAAATCCAAATCTGAGTCCTGAAGTCAAATGGATGCCCTAGGAACTCTAACCCTCACCAATCTCAAACTAGAATGTGTTCTTTAACCAATAACTTAAAGCCTGTGTTCACACAACATACTTAATCAGGACAGTTACAAACCTAGCACCTGCATTTGCACATCTAATCTATCTAGTCTTGGTTAGGTGTTTTCAGCTTAATAGGCTGATCAATCCCTTTGACTTGTAGATCATGACTGAATGTGGAATATAGTAATACCAGAACACCAGATTATTCTTCTGAGAAACAGTGAACAAGTAGCTACTGGAAGAACTGAATCTGGAGAAACAGAGTGATTCAGACTAGAGAAGGGACTGAGAAAGAATGTATATTATCCTCATATCCATTTAATGTATTCAGCAAATATATTTTGGCAGGACTGGAAAACATGACAGATAATATATATATAATAAACATTATAATAATATAATATAAATATAATGTAATGTAGTGTAATATAATACCACTCTGTTAGCTGAAAATATTTCTTTAAAAAGTCTTAGACATCCTCATTGTGGAACTAAAAGTAGAAGTGAAAAATCCAAGTTAATGTTAAATATTAAGAAGACAAAGTTTATGCCAACCAGCATGTCATTTCAACAGCAACAAATATTAGCATAATCTTTATATATTAATGCTAATATACTCTGTAAAAGCTGGATACTGAGAAAGAGTGGGAGAAAAAATGGATGGATGTTCATGGATACATGAAATTATGGCTTTCAAGACAGTTATTAAAAGTATCATGGACTAAGAAAAACTAATCAGTTCTGATCCAAATAAAGTTGAAGCAATGATCAGTAAGGAGAAAGCCATATACTTTATGCAAGTGGATTATGGACCAGAAAAAATGATTATGCTTGGCAAGGGTGAGGGAAGTAGATGAAAGGAAAGACAATGGTTAAGGTAGATGGACAGAAACAAAGACTTTGCTAGAATGTCCTTGGAAAAAGTACCATCACTAAATATAGGTCAAAAAGGTGAGCATTTATCCATATAGTCACTAGAAGTATGGGCGTCCACTTTCATCATTCTGCCCCCCCCTTACCCCTCCCCATGGATGCCACTAACTTGGAGTAAAACCCCAGTTGAAGACATTTAACTACATTGTGCAAAGCCAGCCCGTTCAACATGTTGTGCAAACCCAGAAACCGAGTTAAAACAATAACAAGGTAAGGAATCTTGTATGAATCAACCAATACGTTGCAGGGTGTGAGGTTCTCCCTCTGGTTCTTCACCTTCTCACCACCTCGCCCCATTAAAGGGAATGATAGCAGCCATGCATTGTGTTTGGCTATGTTCCCATTCTTTTGCCTTCTGCAGAAAAGGTCTCCTACCCACCGATAGGAGTGGGAGCAACCTTTATTGATCAATTGCTGCATTTTTCAAAAGGCGGCTGGGGGGGGGGGAGACCTGTGGACATCGCTCCCTACATCCACACACAGCTCAGGAGAGGGGAGAGAGCCCCCCTGGGTCGCACAACTGCACTCCTAAGAAAGAGATGTTACTCGCACGCATCCACCCGTTTTTTTTGCCTTTTAGAAATTTACCCCG